TGGGCACAAGACAGCATGAAATAGTTTCTTGAAGTGGCATCTTGCTGAGCTCTTATTACCAGAGCAGCAGCTGATGATGAGCAGTGAATTATTTAAGAACCAGTCTAGTTGCTCATTAAATTTAATAAACCCAGAATTTTCCACAATGCCCTCTTAGGCAGGCCAAGACCAAGGCACCAAGAGGTTCATTTACCAAATGCTGCTTTGCACCTGTATATCTGGAAATAGTTGGGGTTTGTTTTTTGCTGCTGCTAGACCAGACAAAGCATGCAACAGCACCATGAAGCTCTAATGAATGCTGGTGGTGATCACAAGATGGCTAGCCTAGCTTGATTTCAAAACCAGCAGGGAGAGGTATTCAGAAAGGAAGGGCATCACTCTGGGCCAACGTTTTAATTTGACGCAGCTTTACTGAAATCAACAAAATCCAGCCAACAATCCTTGAAATGTTGCTCTGGGCTAGCATTCCCAATCTAGTGCCCTCTAGATGCTTTACAAAATGTATAGAGGACATCAGGTTGGGGAAGGCTATTCTGAGGGACCTTTTAAGTGTTGTCAGCCATTTATCCTCCCTGAAGCCAAGCCTCCCTATGTGGTGATGATGCATGTGACTCTCGGATTCCCTCAGCCAGGGACTATGCAAATGCAATTGTAGGTCTGCCTAGTTTTTTTTCCTTCACCAAGCAGATTCCAAGTTATACTTCCCTAGAAGTGGGTCTAAGTGAATATGCATTCTTTGGACAGCAAGTCTCAGCCACACTGTACATCATGTTGCAGAGGGTGCTTGGCATCCTTTTAATTGTTCTCTGGCAGCATCCCTCCAGAAGAAGGCCTTTCTGAGCTTTGCTACTAGAGCTCCTTTCCCACTGGAATTGCCAAGGTCTAAATGTGGGATCATGGTTGTGCAAAGCATGGCCTAGTTCAGGCCTAGAGGACTCTTCCGAGCCCTGAGCTGTGTTGTGCTAAGTCTTCATGATAAATACATCCATGCTCATGCAAACAGAGAGTCACACACATCACACCAAACAGCAGAACATTTCACAGAGCACTTGGTGCTCTTGTTTTTCAAGAAATTGCAGCTCGGTTATGCTTGCATGACACAAGCCTTAAAGCAATCACCTCAGATCTTTGCTTGACCTTCCCCAAGGCTGTGCTCAACGTGGATGGGCTACAGAGTGTCGAAGGCATAATTTTGTCAGCTTGCTACTGCTCTTGCCACAGTCTTTCCCATACTGAATCTAAATCATGCAGCCAGCTATACAATTCAGGCATTCCTCTGGAGCAGGAGGACATGGCACCACTCACAGGGCAATTAAAATGCAGTGAACATTATGAGTCCATTGGATCCCCATTTCCCCCATGATGTTCCTCAAGGGGCTCTATGCGCAGTGCATATAATGCAGGCCACAGATTGCAGCTCTGAGGGATGCCACATTTTGCTTCTCTGGGGATAATGAAGAACCATCCATCACCACTGATTGACTTTGAGCTTATACAAATGAAACTGGCATCTGTGGTCACCCCCTGCAACATCCCTCAGCTGCTGAAGCAGCAGCTCGTGTTCAGTGGTACTGAATGCACCACAAGGTGCAGCATAACTGAAGTTACCATCTGTCCTCAATCTAAAATCATCAGCACATAATTTGTTATTCTGACAAGTGCCATCTCTTCCCTATAGGAAAGCTGGAACCCAGGATGGATTTTTCTCAGAGATGTTGGATTCTAGATGCTGATGCCATGATATTGCCACAGTTTTTTCAGCAGGTTTCCTTAAAACGGGAGTTCAGGGACTGAATGATGATTTGTATGCAAGTAATGTTATGATTTCTTTGAATGTCAGCATTTTTAAGGCCGGCCTGCTCTTTAAAGGAAGGCACCATGACATTGAATCATTAAGGATACAGAAGCATCCTTAAGGCAATTCCAGGGGAAGCCTTTATGGCATAATCACGTGCCTCATTGATTGGAATGTGTGTGTCCAGATGTTCTCATTCTCTGCACATCATTTTCTTGTGTTTTCTTACACTTTCTTCCTTTCTTTCCCTTAACACAGAAAATCTTTTCAAGAGGAAAAGACTGAGCAACCGCTCAATGCCTTCTGATGGTTACTTCTAGGAGCCCTCTGTCTGGAAGCACCCGTGGGGTTATGATCCTGTAACACTAGTTGAGAAAGAGGATATGGGAGGGGGAGAAAAGATCAAGGGCAGGAACAAAGTGTATGCAAGATAAAATTAGTAAGAAAGAGGACAACAAATGGTGGAATGAAGTGCCCAGCAGTCAGGAGAAGGACATCTTATCCCTAGCGTTGGCTTGAAACATTTTGGCGCCTAAATCAGAACATGAAGATCCCTTGTGTTTGAGATATGCCTCAGTATACCAAACAGCTGACAATGTGCAGCCCTTTAGTTGTGTGCTTTAAATCTGTGCCTGAGTCATGCTGTCACCACTTAGCTGGTGGAACGACCAGCCTTGCTTAACCCACTGGTTCTGACTCTTCTGCTATCTCTTCTGCTCATTTGAAGGAATTATCATTGGACAAAGGTGGGGGAGGCAATATTCTTTCTTAGAGGTGCCTCCTTGAGCCCACTGTTTGTAGCAGTGGGGTCAGTTGGTTCTGCCCGCAGCTGCTGTAGTTTGTAGAGTTAAAGCTCTGATGACCCTCTTCAGATTCTTCACTCACATTTTGTGTGGTGCCTGCTTTACTAGTCTGCAAGAAGAATGCTGACAGTTAGGCAGTGGCCCCCAGGTTCTTAAGAATCAAGGTCACAGATCACTGCATTGAAACTAGGCTTACAGACATGCTGTTGTTAATCAGCTGATTCATATGTGTAGCAAATATCTGGCCAACCTCTCTTTAATAGAGGCATGTAGGCCCTTATGCTAACACCACCTGCAACAGGTGGCTGTCAGGCTGGACAGATGTATCCAGTGGACAGGGAGGGCAAAATACCCACGCCATCTCCACTCCCACGCAGCGCATGGGCTCCGTGCACTTGGAGCCTTTGTCTGAACTACCCCATACGGAAATCCATTTGTCTTCACTGGATGATGATAAACTCCTTCCGAATTGCAGGGTAATCTGAGTGGCCATCTGAAATCTGATACGTAAGAGACTAAACTCTCAAATTGATTTTCCCCTTGGACAGTCTTTGTTCAAATTCAGCACTGGCTAACACTATTTGAGAAAGGAGCAATGTCTGTAGCATGATTTCATAATGCAATGAGAACAATGCTTGGCATTCATTGCACTGACAAGCAATGACAAGATTTGGCACATCAAGATTTGGCATCTCATGTAAAGCAGTTCCATACTGCTCTACAAATAAAATGCCATATAGGCATCTTCAGGTAAAAATAGCTGGCTATAAACAAGAATAAGGCTGTAATCCTTTGCATAGTTAGCTGAAGTTCAGGGGGCTGGCTTAGCCTCAAACTATGATTGGAAACATGTTGACTAGGTAGGAAGACTCTGAACACACTAAGCTGAATGGGGGTTTAATCTGGGGGGGAGTGATAGGATTGCACTGTAAGTGGTCTGTGAATCATTATGTACACTGATGGTAATGTATGTGTAAGCCTCATGTGTATGGCATGACCAGGACCAATAATGCTTCAAAGAGCTTCCCAGGCAAAGAGAGTGGGTCTCTGTCCTAAGTAGCAAGCAGGCTAATTTTGATAATGAGGAGACAACAGGGAATGGAGGTACAGACAACACAATCAGGGATGAATGTGAGCAACTGCTGTTGTTATACCTATGCATAGTACAGTCCTTGTGCAGATTCACTTGGAAGTAAGTGCCATTGGGTTCACTGGGCTTACTTCTAGACACATGTATCTAGGATTAGTAGCATTAAGATTTATATCAGTTGGGGGTCAGGATTTATGGTTAAACCAGAAAAAAGTGTGTTTCAAGGGAGGGTCCTTTCGGTATGACAGCAACTGCCCTCTTAGCAAGGTTTGGCTATGGGACAGCATTGTCATGAGATGATGATGATGATGATAGCAGCAGCAGCAGCAGCAGCAGCATGGTAACAAATAGTGCATGGGTCATCATCAGCATCTTGCTAACTCAGCTGCAGTTGCTTCTTTCAGTATCATACATTCCTACTGCATGTAGAAAACTATTAAGTCAGAGAGACTGGTTATCTTTTGTCTGTTTGTTGAGAATATTTATATCCCACCTATTTTCTGTCATGGAACTCAAACTGGTATGCATGGGTTCCCAGGTGGACTTTCACTCATGACCAGGCCCAATCCCACTTAGCTTTAGCAAGAGGCTTGCTTCTTTGCACCCAGACTATGTCCTAGGATTCTGCCTAACCTGATCCCTAATATTCTGTGTTTTCAGGGAAGGGAGTTTCACGGGTGGGAGAGCAATAAGATAGCAGCAAAATAGATTGTGACCACATCCAGAAGACATTTTACTTATTGATGCCGTTGCTGTTTTTTCACATCAAATCATCTACAGCATGGTCAGCCTGTGAATGGGTGCCCTCCAAAATGTCCTGTCCTTGACAGCCCTGCTCAGCTGTCATAAACTCAAGGTTGTGCCTTCCTTTATGAAATCAGGCCATCTCATAGTTGGTCTTTCTTCTCTGCTCCTCCTTCTAACTGTCCCTAGCAAAGTTGTCTTCTCCAGTGAGACTTGCCCTTCCTTCCTTCCTTCCTTCCTTCCTTCCTTCCTTCCTTCCTTCCTTCAGAACTTTTGTATGCCATCCCTTATGCATGGCATTTCAAGAAATGTCTGAAGTATGGCAGCTTCAGTTTTGTCATTTTGCTTCCAGGGAAACTTCTGACTTAGGACTTATTTGTTCATCTTTCTGTCAATCAGTTCAGGGTATTCAGAAAGATCTCCAGCACCATGTTTGAACACGTCTTTCTTCCTATCAGCTTTCTTCAGCATCCTGGTTTCACACTCAAACATAGAAACAGAGCGAGTCGGAAGGGGTCTCCCTGGCCATCTAGTCTGACCCCTGGCTCAAGCCAGCTCTGCTCACGAGATGCCCACCATGTGTATGTCCAATTTGCTTGTCATCCTTGCGCAGGGGCCATGCTAATCTTCTCTGTATCATTCCAATTATAGTATATGTGCTGCCGAAGCGAACATAGTGATCAGGAATACAATAGTGCAGATGAACTTGGCCTTGGGCTCCAAGGAAACATCTTTACACTTGATTATCTTTCCTAGTTCCTTCATTGCTGCCTTCCAAGTCTCAGTCTTGTAATTTGTTGGCTGCAGTCTCCATTTGAATTGCTGGTTGAGCCAAATTATGCAAAATCTTTGATAATTTCAATTTCTTCATTGTTGGCATGTTGTTTAATTTATTAGTCATGATTTTTGTTTTCTTGATGTTCAGTTGCAGTCCTGCTTTTGCACTTTCTTCTTTCACTTTCATCAGGAGTCATTTTGATCCATCACGGCCAGTAACATGGGACATCTGCATATCTTAAATTATTGATGTCTCTTCCATCAGTTTTCACTCCTTCTTCCTCTGATCCTAATACGTTTTGCATACAGATTGAACAGCTAGGTAGATAAACTAGACTCTTATCTGATACCTTTGCCTATGAGAAACCATTCTGCTTCTCCATATACTGTCCTAGTGGTAGTTCCTTATTCACGATACAGGTTACGCATCAGGATGATCAAGTTCTGAGGTACTCCCATTTCTTATAGGACCATCCATAACTTTTCAAAATCCACAAAATCAAAGGCTTCACTGTAGTCTAAAAAGCATAAACTGATCTTCTGAAATTCCTTGATGAACTTCAGCAGCCAATGTGTTTTCGCAATATAATATTGAGTGCCTCTTGCATTTCAAAATTCAGGTTCTGAATTCAGAATTCCATATAGGGTAATATTCTTTGTTGTGACACCTTGAACATCACTTTGCTTGCATGGGAAATTAGCACAATAGTACTATGGTTGCTGCGTTTCTTTGCATTTCCTTTCCTGGGAATTGAAATGCGATAGTAATAGTTCTTTTTATCTCTACATAATAGTCACTGAAAAGTTGTGTTCAGGATTTTGACTGTATTTCTGTCATCTTTTGCTTTTGCCTCTTGCCTGTCCTTAGCAATGGTGAGTGTTTCTTCTGTCATTCATCTAAGCTTGTTCTTTTTTGTTAGAGGAATGGTCTTTTTGCATTCTTCCCTAATAATTTCTGATTTCAGGATTGCATTCTTCTGGTTCATGGTCAGTTGAGTTCAGTAATGCAGATCTGTTCTTTATGTGAACTTTAAATTCCTCAGGGATGTTTTTGAAGTTGTATTGTGGCACCATGTTTCTGTTAGAAATCTTCAATTTTACTCTGGTTTGTTATATTAAGATTTTGTGGTCACTACCACAATCTGCTCCTGGTCTTGTTTTGGCAGTGAGCATACAATTTCTCCATCTTCTACTTCCAGTTTCATAATCTATTTGATTTCTGTATTGCCAGTCTGGGGATGTCCATTTGTTCTGTCTGATTGGTTGCCCAAAGTATTGGTTGCAATTAACAGATCATTGGCTTCATGGAGACCTGTGAGGTGTTACCCTGGTTTGTTTTTGACCACCTAGGCCAAATTCTCCCATAATTCTCTCTCAAATTCTCTCACATATGATTATCACCGTGACTTGTTTAGGGGTGCTATCAATTTCCTCTTGGATGTGTGACTAAAATTTTCAGATCTCTTCTTTAATATCTGTGGTTGTTGCATAAACTTTAATGATGCTTATGTTGACAGAGTTTTTTTTTTGAGAATTCTGATTGATATGATTTGGTTGAATTTTGCCTTATGTTTTTTACTGCCTGAGCTACATCTTGCCTCAGCACTTTTTCTGAATGTATAATTTCTAGAATAAAACTCTTTGTAGTTGTGTGACTGAAAATGTCCCATTGCAGCCCAGTCTGCTGACATCGCTTATTGTGATGTGCCACTGTTACATTTCTTGGTTCATGGTTTCCAGTTTGCCAAGATTCACACTTCATACATTCCATGTTCCAATTGTTTGTGTTGTGCAGCATCAGACTTTCCTTTCACCTCTGTGCTTATCAGGCCCTAGACTTCCTTTCAGCTTCGATCTACTAGTGTCGTTAGCAATGACGCTATTCATACTTGTCCTTTGCTCTTCCTCAGTAGTTTGTTAAGTGCCTTCCAACCTGGTGGTCCATCTATGGCACCATCTCCTGTTTCATTTTGGATTGTTTCATCACAGGGCTTTCAAGATAACAAAAATTCAGATGTGGTTTCCCATTGCCCCCTTCTGTGCAGTACTAACCAAAGTTAGCTTGTCACTGCTACTGCTGGCAAATATCTTCCACCAGTGTCTCCTTCAACTACCACTGCTGACCAGTAACAGCCCTTTAGGAGTTTCTGCACCGCTATCCCCATTAAAGATATCTATTCTCTTCCGTGTTATGCCCATTATGCCTAAAGAGGGTGGATGCCTCTTAGTCTGGTGTCTCAGCTTTGGCCATTCTTCTTTGAGTGATGCTGCTACAAGACAGCTTAATGAGAGAGTCTGGCCTTCTGGTGGCATTGCACTCAGTTTCTCGACACTCTCAGACTCCCTCACCACATTAAAATAGGCTTCCAACTGAATCTATAAATAATCCTTAGTGAAGATACATGGTATGAAATTCTGGAATGGCAGCCATGTTCATTCCTGTGCAAACCTACTTAGAAGCATGTCCATTAAGAACAATGACTTTCAAGAAAGTGTATATAGGATTGCATCCCAAAGGCACAGTCTTATGGAAGCTTGGACAGTAAAAAGGCCTACAGCTCTTTTCATGCCCCAGGCAGCAATTTATGCCTAAACTTGTGCCCTGAATGTCTTATTTCCAGATATTTGGGTTGCTTTAGTGTACTGTAGCAAAAGCAAGGGGATTCTTGTAGCACCTTAAAAATAAACAAATCCATTATGGCAGAAAATTTTGTGAGCTGCAGTCTTACTTTATCTGATGTAGTGAATGTGGCATGAAGTGAATAGTATGAAATTATTTTAATGCAACACTGAATTTGTCCAATGGAGGACTGATTTTGATCCTGTTCAAGAAAACTCTGTGTGTGTGTGTTTGTAGTATTGCAGAGTTGTCATTACTGGGCTTCCAATTTCTTTCTTTCTTCCTAAGTGCAGGTACAGCCCTAATATAAGTCTTATATCTGAAACAATAATGCAAGGATAGGTTTGAATCATTCCAAAATCAGATGGTCACAGCATAATCAAAGGAAACAGAAACCTTTGAAGAGCAGAGACAGTGCAGAAACCCCTGCAAAGTACAGGAGGATGGAAAATATTGTAGGCTGAGAATATAAGCATTTAATATACCACACTTAGAGATAAAGCCACATTTTAATGGGAGCCTTCTGTTCCAATTTGCTGATTTCCTCATGAATATTTAATTCACTTCCAATGTGTCACTGGCTCCTGTTCCAATGGATTTGCCATCAGTGAGAGTCAAAACGAAGCAGCTCACCTGCAGACCTGACACTGAGGATCTCTTTGATGGATAGATCAAAGATGGAACTTGCTGAAGGGACTTAGCCATTGGGGGAGTTTTAATGATCTAGTCTCTGGGAGAATTATATGAAAGAAGATTGCCATATAGCATAGTATAGTCATGTCTGTAGCAATCAGTGATGTTGGTAGTTTTTTATAAAGGAAAACAGAGGAGGAGGTGAGATGACAGGAGATGCCTATCTGCTGGCCTGGCACCTTAATTGTGAAATTAAAAATAGTCAAGTCTATGGATATTACTTACTGTAGATTGAGCATAATAGTGAAGTTTCTTCCTCAAAAGCATATTTTGGACTTCAACAGTATGATCTGTGACCCCTGTCCATGCTGTCTGGGGCTAACACAGTTACTATTACACGGGGTCTCAAATACTTAGTCTGCTCAATGGTCAGAGCATTTGCAATACTTACCTTTTGAACAAGTAGTTTAGTTTGGAACTTATTACAAGCTGTTAAGCATGCACATTGTTTAGCTACAATACCATTTCTGTATGTTTGCTACATCAGTTGGAATAACTTTTTCCTTGTCAAATCTGAGGCCACTTCCTTCCCTGCTTCCAGCACAACTCTGTCTCCAGAAGGAGGACTCAGCAAGGTTCCCCACCCTACAGTCTCCTAAGCCGTTTCCCTTGTTTCTGATACCACAGAGACATGTTTCTGTCTCTGCATTGGGGTTCATTTTACCCATCAATATAAATGACATGTTTCAGTTCTGTGGGCCCTTTGGAGAACTCGAAGGCTCAGTGTCTAAATGGCTCACTGATTTCAGTGTTTAAGTGTGCTTTTTCAATGCAAAGCAGATGGGGGGCTGTTCTGTCCCTCAGCAGCTCATCTATTGGAGAGTGATTGGCAGAGACCATTCATTCTGCATGACTGTTTTCTACACTGGGTAAGGAAATCCCCAGCAACACTTCCAGGGATACACTTGAATGCCTAAGGAGGCGTGCAGAACCTTGTAACTGGGGTGTGTTGCAGCTTCTCCAATGATCCGTTCACATGAATGGAGTTTATTGGAGACTCTGCTTCAGCCCAAGCGGTAGAGCCTTATGCAAAAGGTTTGAAAGGTTTGATGGCCAGATGAGGAAATGGTGGGTAGTTCACCTTAGCAGAGAGATCACTTGATTCACAGAAATTGCAAACTCTTCCATAGGGAGATGATTGCAAATTTTATTAAAATCTAAGCAAGTGGAAGAAGCTGAGAGGGCAAAAAGAGAGAGAGAAGTCAGTTCACATCCAGCCAAAGGGTAGAAGGCAGCATTCTATACCAAGCTCAGGTCAGTTAGCAAGGTCAATGAAGAATGGAGCCCGAATTGCAAAAAGTAACACCTTCCATTGCAGCTAATGCCTAGTCTCATGCTATCTTTCCTTGTCAGATGGATTTGGGTGACCTTTTTGTGAGCAGGCTTTGCTTTGGTCAATATTGTTTCATTGCCTGGCTGGATGCCACAGATACCAGACCCTCCATGAGGCTGTAATTTTCCTGTGGTGAGTTTTTAGGCACCTCGCCCACTGGCAACAAACAGCTGTCTGATCCTAGGCTAAGACAGGACTGAGGCTATGCCAGGCTTAGCACACCAGCCAGTTACATGCAGAATGCAAGGTA